ACGGAATATGGAATAATAGATAATAAGAAAGATTAGAATAACAATACTGTGAATGCTTTTCAAGCATTCACACTAATAAAGATTAGAAGAACAATACTGTGAATGCTTTTCAAGCATTCACACTAATAAAGATTAGAAGAACAATACTGTGAATGCTTTTCAAGCATTCACACTAAATATGTGAAGTAAAAGGCTAGGTCCCAACCTCAACCGAACTTAGATGCTTGGCTGGGTCCTTCAGAGAGCTTTGCAACATTGCAAAGAAGAAGTCGACAAGATGAAAGAAACACATAATGTCATACAGAAAATCATTAATTCAAGTTATTTGTTCAAAAGGTAGTTACACAAGCTATCATGAATTGAACCGAATTCATTTAATAAATAATATAATAATAACAATTATTACTTTAAAGTAGTTGCAGTAAAAGAAAGCTCAATCGTTATATGATGAATAAACCCCAGCATGCATTGATAAAAGAATTTCTAGTTTGTCATATAAATAAATTTAAAAGGCCTGTTATAATATGCATTTCCTCCATAAAAGTAGCCTCACGGAGAACAGCTAACACACACTATACATTTCCCCTCAGGTACCTGTGCACGCAGCCGGCTTGTTAATGTTACTGAGCCAAAGGTCTACACAAAAGGAGAATATCCTGGCTCGTATGCTTACGGAGCCTGGGGTCGTGATCCCAGACCAGAGAAAGGCAAAGAGAGCTGGTATTGGCTGGTGATGTTGACATTGAGTAACGTACATGCCAACTATGTTCGTCTTTACAGCAGTCTGAGTTCTCTCATCATTGGAGTGAGCGTCCCAGGTAAGGAACTGCTCGCTTCTCTTTGTTTATTCCCCTACGAAATGTAAAAAACCCTTACTGTTTATACTGGGATCACACTGAAGTTGGTAAATTAGTAGTTTATTGAATCATTTGAATTTCCAAGAAAGAAAGAAATTAACCTGGAGGTTTGTTGTACGTTGGGTTACTGAATGTGTATGGAAAGGACCGTTTAAAGTTTGCTAGGTAACTACAATACCCAACTGTACCTAAAATTGAATTATGCAGACCACAATAAAAGTGACTTTACTCTTTAGTATTATAAGAGAACACTGACATTTTCCTTACTTAAAGTGGAATAAAGTAAAGTGCACGATTGTTTTAATTACTGGCACATTTCTGTGAAGCAAATTATAGTTTTAAACTATTAACATACGTTTATTCCTCCTTTTTCTTCTTCAGGTAACGTCCAGATCCACTCCTCAAACCCAACTACCAACACTATCCAGGGTCCAAATAATGTTCTGTATGGAGGGGCTTTGTACTACAACTGTTACAACCAAGATTATGTTTGTCGATTTAATCTCACCACTAAAAGTGTCACAACCTTACAACTACCAAAAGGCACCAGGTTTGTTACTCAACTTTGAAAATGTTAGTTTAAAGAATAACTATGACAGAAACTTTCACTGCTATCCTCTGTTAACCAGGTACAACTCAAAAGGTAACTTCTGCCATCTTGAGGAATGCTACCCATACACTGACCTGGACCTGGCAACAGATGAGTCTGGTGTCTGGGTGGTCTACACCACCACTCAGGACTTTGGCAACTTGGTTCTCTCCAAGCTAGAGGAGGGTGAAACACCAACACTTAGGCGTACCTGGCGCACTTCAGTCTACAAGCGGGCAGTGACCAACACCTTCATGGCGTGTGGCGTTCTCTATGCGACACGTTACATTAACAGGGAGGTCGAGGAGATCTTTTACTCATTCAACACCGTGACGGGACAGGAGAAGTTCAACATTGGCATCTTCATGAACAAAATGTCTACCAACATTCAAAGCCTAAATTACAGCCCTGTGGACCAGATGCTGCATGCTTACTGTGACTCCAACATGGTTTCCTACAAGGTGTTGTTTGGGTAAATTGATGTTGTTTCATTTCTGCAAAATTGATTGATCTCTATAAAAGTCTGAATTCAAAACAGTTTTTTCTCAAGATGTTTCATGTTTAATGCATCACATTTCATAAACAATGTATTTCTCCATTAATCTAATTCTACCAGTGTAAATAAATAGTTCATTGTTGCCTTGTACTCTCTTTATTCAATAAAATCAATATTTCCAGTGTAGTGGTTTTAATGTTCAGAGTCAGTCTAACTATGTTATTATATCTTTTTTTATGTAAACATACAAATGTCATATTCTCATAAAAGTTACACGATTGTTGTTCTGACATTTGTGGAGAAATCCTTGCAGTGACATTAGTGTAGCAGTTATCTAAATAAGTAAATTAAATTCAAACTGATTATCAACTCGTTAGTTGTTGTACCAGTGTATTACTCTAAGTACTGGCTCTTTCCATGCGTGACATAAAAATCCTCTTTTTTCTGAATGCAGAAAACTAATCTATGATTAATTTTACAGACAATTTTTTTTTAAATGGCCACATGAATAAAAACATTCCTACTTTCTAATGGTATCTACCATTTACATTGTTTATGGAGATATTTGTGAAATATTCTCCAGCATTTACACTGACTAACCTTAACATTGTGTAACATTTAAAAATTATCCTTCAAGTATCTGATATTACACATTTTATAGTTCATAATTCAAGCGCAGACCACCAAGGTGCAATGGCCTACACTCAACTGATATGCTGTTGTGTTTATATTGTAAAGTAAAAACCCTATAATAATATAAAAAAACCCCAGAGAAACCCCAACAATCATATCGCTCCCATGAGCAGGTGATTTGGCGACAGTGGAAAGGAAAAACTCCTTTCTAACAGGAAGGAACTTCCAGCAGAACCAGGACAGGAGAAGGATGTCCATGTGCAGCAATGGAAGCAGATATGGAAGGTAAAATCCAAAGTGGTCCCAATGGTATAGGGCAATGTATTTTGATTTCCACCAGTGATTCGATTCAATTTTGACACAGTCAATATTCACGGAAATATTATAATTCTGATCATTTATCTACAGGAAAGGGCAGAGCAGGCTGTACCTACTGGGGAGACTCAGGTCTTTTGGAGTGAAGGGCCCACTCCTGAACAACAACAACAATAACAACAATCTTTATTTATAGAGCACATTTAAAAGCCTTGGGCATACCAAAGTGCTTTACATAAAACAATAAAAGGTTCAAACATTGATAAAGGATAAATAAAAATAACGAGTTATGTTCATAGATAAAAGCTACCAATAAGAATGACTACAGCACATGGGTAATAGCAAGATAAAAGCTGTACCACCATAATAAAAGACACCAATAGAAAGATAGGAGGGAATTAATACAAGAGGTCAATAGGCCACAGCAACCAAACAAACAAACAAACCAGCAATTAAAAGGTGGAGAAGGCAAGTTTAAAAAGATATGTTTTAAGCTGTGATTTAAAAGAATGAATAGAATCAGATGCCCGGATGCCAATCGGGAGATTGTTCCACAGCACAGGTGCAACAAGAGCAAACGATCGATCACCTCTAGTCTTAAGTCGAGATCTGGGCTGAGCCAGCAGTAACTGTGACGATGACCTTAAAGCCCTAGCAGGAGCATAAGGGTTTAAAAGGTCCTTAAGGTAGCTGGGTGCAGTGTTGTTAGTAATTTTAAAAGTAAACAACAAAATTTTAAATTGAAGACCTATGACTCTGTGGTGGCCTCAGCCATCTTTTACTGTGAGGTCTGCCAAGGCGGCAGCATCTCTGCTGGAAGAGAAGAGACTGAACAGGCTGATCCGGAGAGCCAGCTCTGTTCTAGGATGCCCTCTGGACCCAGTGGCGGTGGTGAGTGACAGGAGAATGGTGGTTAAGCTGTCGTCCCTGTCGGACAACATTTCCCACCCCATTCAAGAGACTCTGACAGCATTGAGCAGCTCCTTCAGTGGCAGGCTGCGGCACCCAGGCTGGGATGGAGAGATTTTGCAGGACTTTCCTCCCAACTTAATGTCAGACTCTACAACATGGTCTCTGAAGATGGCCACACACGTGCAGACAGACACACACACATCCCATACACAACTGTAACTGTCTCCCTGATGTGCAGTATTACCTGCTCTTAAATTTGTACTTTCTGCCGTGACCCAAATATTTCCCATTTGTGGGACTAATAAAGGTTTATCTTATCTTATCTTATCTTATCTTATCTTATCTTATCAGTACAAATCCATTATTTTATATCTATGTATATCTATATATATATAAAAATAAATCTAACACTTGTGAGACCTTAGAGGTCACATCTTGTAACTGGAAGGTTGCCGGTCCGATCCCCAGCTCTATCTGTCCTGGTCGTTGTGTCCTTGGGCAAGACGCTTCACCTACCGCCTACTGGTGTTGGCCAGAGGGGCCTGAGTGTCTAGAAAAGTGCTATATAAATGCAATCCATTATTGTACCTAAGAATAAAACACAAACAAATATGAAGGAGATTTTTCTGGCTGGCTTTTTATAGCAGATAAACACCTTAAAAATATTTTGCAGTACATCAAAAATTGAAGAAAACCATGAATCAGCATATAAACATTACCTAATGCTGAAGTGAAGCAGAGCAAAGTTAAGGAGGTTTTATTAGCGACTACAGCTAAGCGTTTTATAATTTGGCATAATTATTAAAGTTTAATTTTTTTGGTATTGAACAGCAGAAATTGGCCCTTCTTTTCGGAAGTCTGTTTTGGAGAAAAAAGTAGCGGGCAGCAGCACTTTACACAACGGTAGACTGGTGTGTAATAAGCAAGTGAATAATGCAAAAAACAGAAATTTTAGTACATTCAGAGAGAGAAAGCTGTGCATGAAGTGTGATTTTCTCATGGTGGAAGCAAAACAGCAAGAGGAAGATAGAATTCGTGACAATCCTTTTCAAACGTGAAGCGTAGTCTTGATCTTCTTTTGCTGCTGGTTCAGTGAATTTTGGTCGGAGAGTGATGAAACCTGCAGCTTCAGAATCTGTGAGATGTTGCCTTTCAGCACCCAGTGGCATGTCCCCGTTGGGTGAATGGGGGGGGGGGGGGGCATGCTTTGCATTTACATCTTTTTGCAAAATCCGTTTACATCATTAGCTGTTTGATGATTGAAACAGTTTTGTGAGCTTTAACCTCAGACTCTGCCGTTTCTAGCAAAATACATTTACATTTAAAAATCGATTTTGGGTATCAATATCACATTATTCAAACTAAAATCAATTTCTATGATAAAATCAATTTTTTAAACCTACCCCTACAGTGTTAGCAGTAATGTTAGAAGCTGTAAACCCAAAATAGTTAAAATCTTGATGTTTTTGGTACTGAAGACTTTATTATGGTTCTAACCGGTGTTTGCATTCAGTTTAACCAAATGACATTATTAGTATAAGAACAGTTTTTACAGCATACATGACATATCTGTGGTATTTGTAGCTAACATCACTGTTGCATAAAATAGTCCTTAAACTGCACTTTTTAAATCATTGCTTTTTTTTCTTGCAGCATGCATGTAGCATACATGATATATCTTCAGCATTTGCAACATCTGCTAAGATTGCTGTTGCACAGAAAAAGCCATTGCGTTTTTTTTTGGAGGGGGGGGGGCTTGGTCATGTGACAATAACTAGCTACAAAGCTTCAGATCTGAAGTGGGCCTGGTAGGCCAGCAAGTATCCATCGTTGTACATGTAGATCTGCTTGTTGGTGGGATTGTAGCTCAGACTAGCCACTGCTTTAGCTACCTTCTCCAGTGGTATTGCTAGTGAGTTGTCTTCTTTGCCTGTGGCTGTGTCGAAGGCGTAGAACACCTCCTCCCGGTACTCATTAACGTAACGAGTTGCGTACATCACACCGCACACCATGAAGGCGTTGCTCGTTGCCTTCTTGAACAACCTCGTTTCCCACGTCTGTGTCACGTTGAGACTCTTCACCTCGCTGTCCCAAACTAACCGGCTGATCACAAGGTTACCATGGTTACCTATAGTGGCATAGAGAGCCCACAGTCCTGTTTCATCTGCCTCTACATCAACATCACTATTGAGCCGGCAATCGTAATAACAATAGGGGAACTTGTTGTTGAAACCCACACCAGTGCCTGGAAGAGTCACCCGTTTGACCTCGTTGGCCTCAAGGTCGTACCGGCAAATGTCTGCAGAGCGGTAGCAGTGATAATACAGAGCCTCGCCATACAGGACGGCGTTCGGACCTTCATTTGTGCTGGGATGACTGTAAGATGAAGCAAAGGTAAATTCTCTGTGGTTTGTTGAGGCCATGAAGTCTTCGTAGGTTTGGTAAAGGCGCACAGTGTTGCCCCAGATGTGGCTGCTGAGCAGAGGTTGAACCCAGTAACTGTTCTTCTGCCCCTCGCTCTCGTTCTGGGCTTGTTTTCCCCACGAACCAGAGATATAGCTCTTACCATGAGGACTGACTTTGGTCGTGATAGGGTCACTGATGTTGGTGATCAGACCTCTGACGCAGTGCTTGTCCTGAACTGGAAAGATAGAAAGATCAGAAGGTTTTTGAAGCAGATGATGATATAGATACAGTCAATTGTTGTCATTTATCATCATTACTTATCATCCCCTTAAGGTGTATCCTTGCTTTGAAAAGGGGAAGCTTTTTATTTCTAGACTGGGATGGCTCTGCACTGGGTCTGACAGAGGGCTGGGTCGGTGACCCAGCATTTTGAGTTATTTTGTATTTTTTTTTATTTATGAAATAATATAAAGTTCTCGGGTTATTATTAGTTGGTATTAGTTGAAGTTGAGTCTAGTATATTAGACTCGTTATCGTCCATGTCTCCTTGCTTATAAGCCTTTTTCTGTTTAAAATGTGTAATCTCCTTGTCTGTGTAGGTTCCCCTTGTGTCTTTGTCCTCTTTCACTTTCTGGGAATTCTGTTATTATAGACAATGTAGAGACTGGATTTTCAGCTCTAATGCCAGCTAGAACTGTTTGTTGTGAGACAGGTTGCTGTGAGACCAAACTAGACTCCTGTGGGTCTAAAATATGGGCCGGGTCGGATCCAGAGGCAGAGTCGAAGGACTCAGTGTGCTCTGGGTCCCCAGAAGTACTTGTTTCTACTCCCACTTGGGGGCTCAGCAGAGGTTGCCCAGGTCCGCTGTGCCAGCTGGAGGGTCAGACAGGGCTAGTCAGCAACTTCATGTTTGAGCTGGGGGTACATGAGAGCCCAGCCTCCAACTTTATGCTCCAGCTGGGGGTTCAGGAGACCCTAGCCAGCAGCCTCTTGTGCCAGCTGTATGCTCAGCCGAGCATATATGGTCCAGCCACGATTCAGCCAGAGGTTGACGTCTCATCTAGTCTCATCTCAAAGTAGCCTGGTCTCGCCTGTCAATGCCCTGCGCAGCCTGCCAGTCCACAACCACCTTCCAAGCCCCAACCAGCGCATCAGGTGCCTGCCAAGCCAGCCCGTCCATGGAAATCAACCAAGCCACCAAACGGCCCTCACTCACGTTCACCCTAAGCCATAGCCTAAACTGGGGGTATGGAACTCCAGGCCTCAAGTGCCGGTGTCCTGCAGGTTTTAGATGTGTCCTTGATCCAACACAGCTGAGTCAAATGGCTAAATTACCTCCTCAACCAGAGGCCTGGTAATTAACTAATCATTTGATTCAGGTGTGTGGACCCAGAGTGTGAACTGTAACCCTGATACTAAAATCACATTTTGCACCTCAAAAATGCCAAACAGGCATTCTGTTCCCATAAGTGACTGTTGGTCCTCACAAATATAGTAGCATGCCAATTTTCTGTCATCACAAAGATATCTAAACATGTGCACGCACACACACACACACACACACACACACACACACACACACACACACACACACACACACACCACACACACCACACACACACCTCACATACCTCTGAAGTCTTTGGGGATTGACTTGCAGGTCTCCACATTATTCTTTAGGTAGCGCAGTTTCTCCTTCACAGTCTTCATGTTAAGCGTGTCTATTGTTTGCATCTTGTTTACATGTTTATGTAGTCTATCAGCCTATCAGAAATGGATATAATATTATTCTATTGATAATTCTGTTACATCACAACAGGTCACATGTGACCTGACATAGTATAACATTAAATCTTTTCTTTCTGTTGTATTTTGCTGCCATTTGCTATTTTAGCTCTACCTCTTTGGAGAGTTTCTGTGTCTCGGAGTTGTTAAGCTGGCTGTGGACCACATCGATGTCCACCTGTAACTGGCTGAGCTCCTGGCCCAGCTGGCGCAGGGACAGTTCTGTATACAGGCCCTGGGAGTGCAGGTAGTTGTAGGGCTCCAGCCGAGCCGTAAAGTTGGTAAACTGATCCTGGATCAGAGGGAGACGTTGGCTAGAGAACGTCAGCTGCAAGAAATGCAGACAAAAAAAATCCTCTGTTCAAAGACATGGCTTTTTTTCCTATACGAGCTATGTAAAAAATACATCCAAATTTTAAAAAGTTAATATTATGAGGGGAAAGAAAAAGTGGTTACCCTATATTATAAAATACTGTACATATTTTCTATTATAGATAGATATCCATCTGTTGAAAGATAAGAGATCATGGACCTCAGCTGTGTAGTCTCATATTATTAAGAATAACAACAATAATTTTAAACATTTGAATCCCCAACTGATAAGATATATGTAAGAAAGGCCAGTGAAGCCAAGCTTTTTATTTTATTTTCAAAGACAAGTCTTTTGCAAGCAGCATCTAAAATAATATATGAATGTTATGAAAAAACTTTGATACAGTGTTTATCTTTAAATAATGAAATATCAATTGATTGATTATACCCATACTTAGTATTCATTATGATAATAATAATTAATGAATTATTAAATAATGTTTTCTTGATTATTGATTCATTTTTACTTGTATTTTAGTTGTTTAATAGTACAACGTTAGTTCCTGAGAGCTTACTTCAGTACAATAAAGCATATAGATGAGTTCTTACCTCTTCTTGTAGGTTATTCAGAGATTCTTCACAGGTGTGAACTTCCTCCAACACGTACTTAAACTTCTGAGCAGGAAACACCCACATGGTGGAGTTTAGCTGGCACACACATGCATTTGCCTTCTTGTAGCCCGACACTCGCTGACTCTGGCTGTCAGCCTGATTTTGCAAATAGGAGCACAAATTCTTAAAGTCTATTTACATGGTAAACAAACAACAAAAAATACTACGTATAATACTTTTTTAAATTTATCGACTAGAAGTGTGACTTACTGTGGACGACAGCAGCAGCAATAGAAGCAGCTGCAGCATTTTTAGAGAAACTGAGACTGGACCAACACTGACACACAGTCTTCTTCTGTTTTCTTTAGAAAAACTCACTCACAACAAACTCAGAATTTGCCAGTTTGCTTCCTGTCACTGATAAGTTGCTCCACAGCCTTAAAACCACTTGGACAAATGACACAACTAAGAACATCAAACTGGCGTTTTGTACGACCCCTCCCGCTTTCTATATGCATTGTTAGTTTACTGGCTCTCATTTCCCCTTTTCAGTCTTCCTTAGACGATTATTTCGTTTTTTTCATTCAACTGTTGATTTCTCATTCATTTATTTATTTTTAACTATATAATAAAAGTGGAATGAACTGCCCACTGATTTTCAAGCTAAATTCATGTTTAAAACAACAAATCCAGTAGAAATTAAGTTTTCATCATATGTTAGTATGAAAATCTAATTTTGAAACGCTGCTTAAAAAAGACACTCAAAAATAATATATACCTTTGCAGGTTGTAGTCGTTAGCTTTTTTTTTATAGTGAACATTTTTATGACTAATGAAAAAAGTTAAACTTTAAAAAGTGGGCATTTACAGTGATGTATTACTATGATATAATGCCATGCTTGTTCAGAAATCCAGCTGTTAATTCCATTGCATTAACAGCTGATGTAGTCTACAGTATAGAGTAAAGCTCAGGGAAGCACAGGCTTCTCTGTGTAATGAGGCTACAACCTGTATTGAGTCAACATCTCTGTGCTGAAGAGGATACTAATGGGATTAAAGAATCCCATTAATAAATTAAACTGGAACTGAAGCCTGGAATTGCCAAAATTGCAAACAACCATGAGCTGCTAATCTTAATTCTCAATTATTTTTGCTTACTTTTTATTTATTTTACATTAAAAAAAAACCCCTGACAAACTATGATTTCTGCTACATCTGCTTTCACCTTGCTTACTACTGCAGTTTAACCTATCAAGGTCAGTGACAATCCGATCAGTATATTTTTATTTATTTATTATTATTATTATTATTATTATTATTAATATGTTTTATTCTTTAATCTCATTATATATTCACAACCAGGGAGAGGGTATACAATGCAATATTATAACACTTTCAGTTTCTTCAAAAAGAAAAAAAAGGTCACTATTCTCTGAAAATATAGTATATGACTTAGTAATCATATTGGTTTTTGGGCTCATCAACAATGATGGAAGACCTCATAGGGTTAATAACAATCTTTTCAGAATATTACAAAATATACTATCATTTAATTAATTTGATGAAAGACTGCAGTGTTAAGACATGCAATCAATTAAGAGCACCTGATATTTCTAAGGTAAGCTTTTTCAGTTCTCACACTACAGTTAACTTTTTAACATCCACTGCCATTGGCCCACTTATTTTTACAGGTATAGTTTTGGAATTTTGCTGATTTCGAATGCCCAAATGGGAACACTTATGTCATAGTCGCTGTGTATATGACACCTCACATAAAAAATAGGAACTTCTACTTTCTAAAAATGTGCTTCATGTTGGTAAAACTATATATTTGCCAAAAATGTATATTTGGAAACTTGGCAGATTTAGGGAAGTTAAAAGAGCTTAGAATGCAAAATGAATCATCGGTGGTGAGACATGGTGTGCATAACAAAACCACAGAATAAAAAAAGAATTAAAAAAATAAAATATCAGTCTGACTCAAAGTGGACACTTTCTGTTCCTGAAATTTCCCCATTCCAGGCTCTGCAACCACAACATCCTTGTAAAGCTTCAAAATAGTGCACGTATTAGTCATTTATATGGGTTACTATTGGAATATCCATCTCTGAAACATGACCAGCAGATTGTAGCAGACTATAGCTTGTTATCACAATAGGTTGAGACTGTTAGTGCTGGACAAAAATTAATAAAGACACATGTAAGACATGTATTTATCAACATAATTAAAAATAATAATAATTTTGGTATAGACCAGGGGTATCAAACTCATTTTAGTTCAGGGGCCTGTAAAAAAAAAAAACAATTCTTTGATCTTCAGGCTGAAGGAAGAACAACGGTGTTTAATGCTCAGTCAATAATCACTGTAATCAATACAATTCTCTTTGTTCCATACAAACACTTTGAGCAATACAAATGTCCAGGAGATATACACGGGAGGGGGTCCGACAGATCTCGAAGTGTCTGACCATTTCACACATTCTTATAGCTTCCCATCCACCCCCAAAGTCATAAAACCTAAACATTCATATTCTTTCTCTCCCTCTCAGTGAGCTTCAGTTACGACCTTGGTTTCCTGTGCAGTATAGTTTTGTTCTCCCTAATGACAGAAATAAGGCCACGATTCTACACAGACAGCATTTCTTATAAATCAGCAGTATAATGCATCATAAAACACTATAATGATTCCGCAATCTTTAATCAGAGGTATAATGTGACATAAAACAGCTTAATGATTTTACAACATAGACATCAACAACCTTTGTCTCTCAAAACTAGATGCCTGCTAACCCCCTCTCTATCTCCTGCCTCCCAATCTCGTGACCTTGCAGCCCACTTCTTTGCACAATATGTTCTCCTTGCTCTGGCTTACCAACTCCTTATCCTACTAACGGCAACTTAATGTCGCCTCTGCCCTTCAAATCCGGGTCACACTGCAAGTCTATTATTTCAAGGTGGATGCTGACAGGCAGATCAGAGGGATTCAAGGTGGACGGCGAGCAAAACACTTTGAAGTCTTACTCCAGTTCACCAAAAATCTGAAATCATAGCTCAAATTCTCGTAACAATTCTGCTATTTTATCTTTGAACCGCTTCATGTGTGCCTCACGTTGGATCGCGCACACATTTTGGCTGATTGATGGGATGTGGGGTGTTCCCCATAAGAGGTGCTAGGATGGTAGCCGATGTATCAAAAAAACTCAGGAGAGTCTTCTCCAAGCATGACATCCCAGTGTACTTCAGACACAGCAACACACACAGACAAAAACTGGTCCATCCCAAAGAAAAGACTCCTAAACACAAAATTAACAATGTGTATTCTGTACAGTGTAGTGAGGAATGCCCAGACCTCTACATTGGAGAGACCAAACAGCCACTTCATAAACGTATTGCACAACATAGAAGAGCCACCTCCATGGTACATGACTCGGCAGTCAATCTGCATCTAAAGGACAAAGGTCACTCTTTCGAGTATGCCAATGTTCACATTTTGGACAGAGAGGACAGATGGTTTTAAAGAGGAGTAAAAGAAGCCATTTATGTCCACTGTGAGCGACCATCTTTGAGCAGAGGCGGTGGTTTACGACACCAACTCTCTGCCATCTATAATCCAGTTTTGAGATCCCCTCCCAGATGCCTTAACACCCACTCACATCCTGGGCCATCTGACCTCAGGAAATCACATGATAGGGTGGGGCCAGGTTTCACAATGAGCTCACCTGAAACCTTGGCTGATTGTGACCTACACCCATTTTCACACCTTGGGTCATGTGATTACGTAGAGGATCATTAGGGGGTCCTTTGTCCCTCTCGGTGGGTTACTCCCACTAGGTTTAAATCTGGGACTCTCCACCATTTGACCCTTAGAATTGAAGAAGCTTCTTGGACGAGAGGTGAAACGTCTTCAAGCAACTTAAAGAAGTACAGACGCTTTTCTTTCCATTCTTCTTATTCTTACAATATTTAGTGTCTTGAGGCAGTTATTGTGATTTGATGCTGTATAAACTGAATTGAACTGAATGTAGCCTTGGTTAAAATCACACATTATTGGAGTGGTTTTGTTTAGGAAACTCGGTCTGGAACCAAGAACAAAAAGTCTTGTTTAAGTAAAAAAAAAATTGCAAATTTTTAGTTTGTGTTTTTGCTTATTCTTGTTTTTTTCAATTGTTGTTTAGCAATCAGGTGACAAAGAAATAATTACAGTGATTCCTTGTTTACTGTGGGAGTTACGTTCTAAAAATAACCCGCGATAGGTGAAATCCACAAAGTAGCCAACTTTATTTTTTACAATTATTATTCACTATCAGGGACCACTTCCTTGGTAACGATGGGTGATGAGGGATGAGGAAGTATGAATAGTGCTGCAGTTTGGGGAAGGCCTTGAAGGGGACTGGGGACGGCTTTCGGGCCAGGCAGAACCCCATGTACCAACGAGAAATAAAGGGAGGAAAGGAAGAGAGGAGAGGACAAGAGTCCCTCTTCGCTGTTGCTGGCCCACCTGCAACTGATTACCTGACCAGCCGTTGGTAATCATTCCTCCCGGCTAGAAAGGTGTATTTAACCTGGACTCAAAGGAGCTTGCAAAGAAAAGCGTCTGGACTTCTTTAAGTTGCTTGAAGACGTTTCACCTCTCATCCGAGAAGCTTCTTCAGTTCTAAGGTCAAATGGTGGAGAGTCCCAGATATAAACCTAGTGGGAGTGACCCCCCACAGAGGGACAAAAGGACCCCCTGATGATCCTCTAATCGCCTGAGCCAAGGTGTGAAACTGGGCGTGGGTCCCAATCAGCCAGAGTTTCGGGTGTGTTCATTGTGAAACCTGGCCCCACCTTATCATGCGAATTCCTGAGGTCAGATGGCCCAGGATGTGAGTGGGCATTAAGGCGTCTGGGAAGGGATCTCAAAACTGGATTATAGATGGCAGAGAGTTGGTGTCGTAACCCCCCGCCTCTGTTCAAAGATGGTCACTCACAGTGGACATAGATGGCTTCTTTCACTCCTCTTTCAAACCATCTGTCCTCTCTGTCCAAAATGTGAACATTGGCATCCTCGAAAGAGTGTCCTTTATCCTTAAGATGCAGATGGACTGCTGAGTCTTGTCCTGTGGAGGTGGCTCTTCTGTGTTGTGCCATGTGCTTGTGAAGTGGCTGTTTGGTCTCTCCAATGTAGAGGTCTGAGCATTCCTCGCTGCACTGTACAGCATACACCACATTGTTAAGTATGTGTTTTGGCGTTTTGTCTTTCGGGTGAACCAGTTTCTGTCTGAGTGTGTTGCTGGGTCTGAAATACACTGGGATGTCATGCTTGGAGAAAACTCTCCAGTACCCTCCATGGAGAAGGAGGCTAGGGGGCAAGATCAAAGTAGCACGGAGTGAGGTTAGCCAACTAACGGAGTTGCAGAAAGGTGCGACAAAGAAGGTGCATAAGAAATACAGCAAGCTGTC